TCCTTCCTTCCCCCTCCTTCCTTCCCCCTCCTTCAAATCATGACCCTACAAGGTGTGGTCTTGACCTCTTCATTGCAGGTTGGGGCGGAGGTGGTGCCTACGACATTCCGAAGGCACCTAATTTGATTTAAGGAATGCTTCAGGCGACCTATCGGATTTGAATGGCCACGGACTCGTTGTCGAATAGGCAAAAGATTGATTGATTGATTGATTGATCGATTGATTGGTTAATTGATAAAATATCGTGGATAAGGCTCACTGCGACGATCCGGCGGCGATCGGAGAACGCTATTTATTACAAGTAACGGAGGGTGGACGAGGAGCCTGTGCATCGTGCAGAAGCAGAAGAGAACGCAGATGGAAGACGAATGTCCCACCAGTTCCGGTGTCCCTGAAGGGGACACACCTGTTGGCTGGAACTTGTGGCCCACAGCTCATCAAATTGGAAATGCAGATCGTTCGCAAATTTAGAACAGGTGCATTTTTGGGAGCGGGTGGTTGCGGATTCTCTTCCTGTGTGAGGGAGAGGAGGGGAGAGGAAGCCATTGTCGACACGTCTCTGATCGATGTGGCACTCTTGAAGAGAAGCAGCAGGAGCAGGAGCAGCCACACCAGCAGCAGCTTGACTGAGAGAGAACTCAGAGGTGGAGAGAGTGAAACAGGGAGGGTCAGCAGCTTGACTCAGTGGATGATAGTGCTCCAGAGAGGTAACTACGAGGCGGAAGGAGTCGAGGAGGAAGGAGGAGGGGGAAGAGTAGAGGAGGGGAGCGTAAAGGAGGAGGGAGAATAAAGGAGGAGGGGATAATACAGGTGAAGAGAGAGGGAGGGGAAGCAGGATTAGCAGCGGCTCGGCAGTTGAGATTGGTCAGGGGGGATGGATATGGGAGTCTGTGGTACTTGTGACGGGTGGGACATGGGAACACATGGTAGAATGGGGGGTTTACGACGCGTCCCAGCGGGACCGTGGGGGACTGGTTCTGTTTGGGCACAATCTCCATGCTTGGGGAAATGCAGTACTTCCGCAGTCAATTTGAAGCACTTTCCATATGCGGTCGCAAGTTCGGTTCGGCGACTGTGAATCGTTTGCCGTGGTGGTCGCTGGCTACGCGTGGGCGTGGATATCTGCCTGTGAACGAGGGAAGTAAACACACACCATGCCTTTTTCGAGTGATTTCTACATGCAATTGCGGTCAGGTTCGTCTTCGACTGGCTGTAAGTGTGGACAGATACGCTGAGGAAGTCCCTTGGGAAGAGGAGGGGACACCCAAGTCCACAACTGGCGGTGCTCGGGAGTGGATCTCTGCGTTCATGAATGCATTGTCGCGAGGCTAGGCTTGTAGATTGTTTGGTGTTGTCGTCCTGATTTCTACATCCAATTGCAGCCCGGCTTGTCTTCGACCATGGACTGATGTGAAGAGGGGGAGCTCGTTCGGTGGCTGTATGAAAAGGAGAGGGAGGGGAGAGAGCTCTATTGGGTAAGTGGGCAATATTTTCTATGTGAACTCTGCAGCTTGAGTTGCAGCCGTCGTCAAGAGCTTTATTCGCGAATGCCAGGAAGGTTTCCTTGCGGCAGTCGTCTAAGATGCTATGTATCTCTGGAGAAGAGAAGGCATCACCAGTAGCTAGGAGTCCAGTGACCTTGCGTTAGCTTTGTTCCTTCACCCACTTACCTTCTCTCTCCCCCCCCTCCCCGCCTTTCCCATTTTAGACCCCTTAGAACCAACCTCTGTTCCTTAACCCTTTGAACCCCTCCTCCTCCCCGCCTTCTTTGTCAGACCCTACTCAAGCAAAAGCTTGGTCATGTGACTCTGAACGTGAGGCTTGGATTCTGCCTAGGGGGACGGAGGGGGAGGAGGGAGGAGGAGGAGGAGGGGGAGGAGGAGGAGAGGGAGGAGGAAGGAGGAGGAGGAGGAGGGGGAGGAGAGGGAGGAGGAAGGAGGCTGAGAGGAGGAGGTAGGGGGAGGAGGAGGGAAGGGCTGCTTTGGTGTGGATGGGCTTGGGGCTGTGGTAGCTTAGCAGGTGCCCCCATACCGAGTCGTTGGAACTAAGGGGTAGCAACCGAGCTACTAGCATCATTTCGTGGCCTTTAAAGGAGGGCATTCATTTGACGAGGGGGAGGATGTGGGAGGGGGAGAAGGAAGGAGGGCTGCTTTGATGTGGACCAGCTCAGGGCTCTGGTAGCATAGCAGGCATACCGATTGGTTGGAACTTGGAACGAAGAGGTAGCAACCGATCTGCTAGCATCATTACGTGGGCCTTAAAGGAGGGCTTTCATGTTTTCCCGGCTGGGTTGAGTTTGTGAACTTGCCGTCTTTCTGTTTGTTTGATTCAATTGACAATGCACTTGTCCTTCTGTTGATTGACGAGGTGGCCATCGCTTGCTGGTTCTGAGTGAACCGGCAGATTCATTCGCTGCTGCGCCACCTCCTTGAGCGCAATTCGCACAGCGAGACATTGTCACAGTCAACAGTCACGTTTTCGCGGCGTTTGTTTTCTCCCAAATTACATTTGTGGTTCCAAAGCCCACTTCTTCTTTTTTTTTTTTTTTCTTTTTTTTCTTTTTTCTTTTTTTTTTTCCCGTTCGTCTTCTTTCATGTTGTGAATCTTGCTTGTGAGTGCGATTGATCGTACATTGCTGCAAACGACAGTTTGCGAGTATCGCTCTGTACGGGGTTGCTTTGCGGTTGCCCGCAGTCGCCTTGCGCATTGACATTGGCTTCGTGATTGCGCAACGCACCACCGACGTTCGGTTTCGTTCTTGGAAGTTGAGCTCGATCTCCCGTTTGTGCTTTTTTTTTTTTTTTTTTTTTTTTCCGGGTGCCGTCCTCCCTCGGGAATCGAAATCCATGGAAAATATCGTGATAATCGTGGCGATCGTGGCTGCCGCATTCCTCTTTTGGACTCTGGTGTTGGCCTTGCTTGTTCGGTGCTCGAAGAACAAGGACTCGGAGTTCTGCTCCTCCATCACCGTGAAAGCTTGCCACGCGGACGGAGCGAAGGAGCTTCTGAGCGACGGAGGAAATACCACAACACCATGTGTACTGTCGCCGCCCTGTTTCCATGTGCGCAGTCTTGGGGGGGAGGTTAAGACCAGTGACAACAGCTACTTCAGCGACAGTGATGGATGCACCAATGGGCCGCTGAGATCATACCCGAACGATCAGCAGATGATTATGCAAGGACGGGTGCTCAACATGGATCTTGAAGCGGGGTTCATTGGCCAGGATGGCAGCGTTCCGAATTTTCATCAACAACCGTGCAAGATGCGGATGGCGCCCTGGCTCAGGCGTTCGCCCGCCACAATTGCAAATGGGTCAAGCTTCAGCTCTCCTGTGTCGTCTGGTAAGAGAGACACTTTCCCTCCCTCTCCTAAACCCCCCTACCTTCCGATTCCTCCTCCTCCCTTTGTACCTGCCTCTCCTCCCTACAAGGATGAATCTGACTGCAATTACGGCCGGACGTGAATGGAAAAAGTGACTGCAATCACGTCCACAGGCATCACCCCTCCAGACTGCAATCACGTCCACATGCATCACCCCTCCTGCTTCTTCGTCTTCAGCTGTTCTGTGTCATCTCGCAAAATGAGAGGGGCTTTCATACCCTCTCTCAAAGTCATCCTCCCATCTCTCCTCCCTTCTTTGTACCCACCTCTCCCTGCAGCATCGCCCTTGAAGTTCGTCCCCTCTACATCTGCAGCTCCCCTCTTTCCCCTGATAAGAGAGACTTCCTTATGCTCTCCGAAAGTCGCCTTCACTGTCTCTCTCCTCCCTACACTATCCGCCTCTCCCTACTGGCGTCACCCTTCCTCCCTTTTTTACCTGCCTCTCCCTACTCCCGTCACCCTTCTTCCCACCCCACCCCTCCTCTTCTCCCTTTCGCCTTTCCTCCTCGCTCTCCCCAACTCCCATAAGACGCACTAGAACCCGATGGCTTCGAGCTGGATGAACTAGTAGTAATGACTTTGTCTGAATTTTCATTTTTTTAAAACGAAGAACAAGCAGTAAATGGGTGGATTACTCTGAAAATGAACTGAATTTTCATTTTTTAAATCGAAGAACAAGCGGTAAATGGGTGGATTAGTCTGAAAATGAAAAAAAAAAAAAAGTAAAAAAAAGTCTGAAAATGAACTGATCCATAACTGGACAGAATGGTGCGACCCAAAAGGAACGACGACTGGCTGGCGTGCTGTAGTCTGCAATGAAAAAAGTTCATAAGACAGATCGAAAAATTTACAATCGATGTGACCGAAGAAGGAACCGAAACGAAACCTTTGCGAAAAAGGGAAGGAAAAAAAAAAAAAAGCAAAATGAAAGAGGGAGTGAAGGCGACGTACATGCAGTCAACTGCATGGACAATTCAAAAACAGACAGTGTTGATATTAACTTGATAATCATTGCAACCATCGTTAAGTGGGCGTGCATCATCACATTGCCGGCATTCCGCATGGCGGACCGCACGGCACCAGTCGGCGTGCCACTCCAAGTATGCACAGGAGTGAAACCTCGTCAGTTGGTACACAGATCGGTGATTCCATTACCTTTTTTTTTTTGTTTGTTTGTTTTTTTACTTGGAATATCTCTAAGCGAAGAAAGAAAATGTTGAGGAGGGAGTGTGGCCGTAAAGTCCCCTGGGGCGAGGTCCCGTTAGCAAAGAGGATTGGATTTAGCTCCTGAAACTGGACGTTGTTTAAGCAGAGATGCAGAAAAACTGTTCAATCTCGAATTTCTGCACCTTTTCCAGGAACACGTCTAGATTCAGACGTTCAATGCAATCCATGTTGCTAGTGGGACCTCGCCCCTGTTGACGTCTCAACCTGCTTTCCCTGTGTGGAGAAATGCGTCGAGAATTAGAGAAGGTATGATCGGAGCAGCTGCACAGTTTCTCACCTATTTTCAACAAGCCTAGCTCAGTTGGTACACCCATGATTTTTTTTTTGAAATACAGACCCAAGTTTGAATCTTGATGAATCAGGTGAACAATATTTAAAAATAATAATATAAAAATAATAATAATAATAAAAAAAATGGAGGTCAATATGCTCCTATGCTCCAATGCTCTTCACCCGAATAGAACGCCCGGTCATTATCGCTGTACCTAGATTCTAGAGATTCCAGACCAGAAGCTGCTGCCCCCAACGCTCTCCACAGTTTCACCAATAATTTGATTCAGGAGCTCATTCATAGGCTCATCACATCGTAGTTTTCGAGTCAAATAAATAATGCACGAATAAAGCAGAAAGGAGTTTCAAATGACAGAAATTCATCCTTGCAGTAGTGATGAGGATACACCCCCCCGCCCCCGCCCCCCAACTGTTTGTGTATGAAACATGCATCGTTTGTCTCACCACTTATGGAGCATTAAATATTTATGTACCTGAGCGAATGTCTCTGTTCCTCAATTATTAATTTATTAAATTTTAGTATTATTTACTTATATTTATTTATTAAGTTATCATACTTTTAATGTATTTAACATACTGGCATTTATAAGAAAGATTTCTGGAAAGATGGCTAAAAATTCATTGTCAAACATGCGGCAGCAGTTTCCCTTTTTTTTTTTCTTTTTTTTTTTGTTTTGCTGTTTTTGTAGATACAGAAGAGTGTGCCACCTAAGGAACTGATCTTTTTTCAAGTACAACTGTATAGATTTTTCTTTCCGTCCTATTGGGCATGAGAAATAGGCTAAAAAAAAAAAAGGTGTCTGTGCAAGGAAAATGAGCGATAGGGAAATGACAGAAATCCAGAGTGCAAAATCACATTAAAGTTTAAAAACGAGCAAGCCCAACGCTGTCCAGAAAGCAGAAATGCACCGACATTCCACCAACGGAAAACCAAAGCACCGAATCCGAATGTTAATGAGAGCATACATACTCTCGCCACCGCCAACCAACATATGTATCCGCAGCCCTCCCTCCTTACTTGGCGCTCAGCGCCCAGACTACGATCACACAGCTACTAGCAGCCTACGAATTGACAATGCATCCTGTTGACGTCAGCAGCAACAACTGAAGTACATGAAGATGACAACCTTGTGGACCATCGCCAAGACCGGATACATGCCCTCACATCGTCAACCTCATCTCTCTCTCTCTCTCTCTCTCTCTCTCTCTCTCTCTCTCTCTCTCTCTCTCTCTCTCTCTCTCTCTCTCTCTCTCTCTCTCTCTCTTGTCTTCCTCGCCATACACGTAGACCACCACCACCTCCACTGGCTATGTCCAAGCCAAGCCGGGCCCGAAAGGCTGGCTATGGTGCTGCTTTCAGCAGCGCCCTTCCTCTCGCATGACCGCACGCGCGCGCACACTTGCCTCTAGCGCTAATGCAGCAGCCCACGAGCGCACGCTCCAGCAGCGCGGCCGCATCTGCACGCAAGTGCCCGAATGCCTCTCCCCCGGACAGGCACTTTGCTATATGCAGCGTGGCCTGGCGCGCCTCGCGTGTGCCCAGTAGCTTCAGGTTGGGCCAAAATGTCTGCGCCCAGGCCGGTTCAGACAGCAGCCGGGGACCGAATTGGTTAGGCATGCCCAACCGCCCAGGCACAAACATGCAGTGTTCCCTGCTTTGACCACGTTGCTGGAAGAGCCTGGAATCCTCACACATATTTCCGATTCTCACGAGCAGAGCGGATGTAACCAACTGGCGGCGCGTGGCAACTGTCTGGCGCCCACCAAGATTTGTGAAAATTGACGAACTCAGGGCACATTGGGGCTCAGGAGGGCCCGCCTTCACTTAGGGCGGGCACACGCCTGCTGCAGGGCCTTATGCCGAGGGGTAAACCCTCGCATCTGGGATATCAGTCTTGACCTTTAGGTAGGGACATTACTCTCCCACTAGTTTGTTTGTTTCTTTTCCATCCCACAGCAAATCTTCAAACGGGACACAGGTGACCATGGACCCAGGCATGCGACCCTTCTTTTTTTAACTGAGTGAATATTTCCCCCGTGCGCCGCACATGCCATGCGCCCCACCGTGCGGGTCCGCTCGTGCGCCGAACGTGCGGAATTTTCCGCATGGCATGCGCTTGCATGTATGGTATTTAACCAGTGTACAGGTGTTGTTACATGTGACGGTGTAATGCTGCTCCTCTTCTAGTAGTATCTGCGACCACACCGACAACTCGTCCAATATCCAATTCATGTATCTTGCAGACTTGCATGTTCTATTGGGACCCTTAACCCACAATTGGGTACGATAAAACGGTAAAACGTATACGATGACCCCTCACTTATAGTGTGGAGTGTCATCCATCCCCTTCCACCTCGAACTCCCTACCCCGTACCCAACTAACCCCCTACCCCCC